CCACACCCCCCCCCCCCCGTCCCTCTCTGTGTCCTATAGCAAACTAACTTAAAAAAAAAAGAAAGAAAGAAAGAAAAAGGAAAGGAAATAAAAACAAAATAAATCACATCACCAAAACAAAGATGTACCATTATTTTAGCTTTCTTTTTTTTGAGAGATTTTTGTCATACCTGAGCTCGCCAGAGAGACAGAAAGCAAGAAATCACCCCCTAGGGGTTAGGACGGCCATGCTGCCACCAGTTCTCCCCCATTCTCTCCATTCTCCCATGGTTTGGGGCAGACACGCCCTCATGCCCAGCGTGAGTTTTTTAAGTTGCCAGGTCTGGAACTTGGACCATGGTCAACTGCATGGGAATCCAGTGACATAACCACTGCCATCTACTGGTCCCATTTTAACTTGTTTTTAAGGAAAAGGAAACGTACTGCCAATGAAATTATGGAATGCCATCAGTTATGCAGTGTGATTTCAGAGATGTTAAACCGCGAAGACCACCTGCTATGGGAATCACCTGGTAAGTTAAAAGGTGATGAGGCCCGCAGGTGGCATGGTGATTAAGGCGCTGGACTCTAACACGGTCAACCACAGTTCGAGTGCCGGTCCTGGTGGCTTGTTTCTCACTTTCTCTCTCACTCTGATGAGCACACGTGCCCTGTAACAAACTTAAAGTGTGTAGTGACACTATCCAAATACTGCTTTAACAGTTTCCAACCTGTTGGTTGGTCCGTGGCTAAACTGCCCGCTTTTCAGCTCCAATCTGCATTCAGGTGTTACGGAGCAGGAACCGCACAGCCAGTCAGTGGCACGCTCATGGAGAGGCCGCCCTCTACTGGCTCAGCCTGTAACTACAGGCCAAAGAACTGAGGGCGTGACTTGAAAAAGCATATGCCGTGTTGCACTAACATTTATATTAAACATTTTTAAAAATCTGGCTTGTTTTGTAAAACAACCTTGAGAAAGTCGAGCTCAACAGAATCCTCCTGGCTGGCTGGGGATTCTGAAAAGGCCAGGGTGACAGTAAGGAGACAGGCAGGCAGGCAGCTTCACTCTCTCAGCTCTGGGCCAGTGTGAGCCAAGCCTGGTTTGTGCCAGGCTCAGCTGCCCACAGGAGCAGGAGCTAACCACCCAGCCTGGGCTCCAGCGCCCCACACGACAGCAGGCACCAGTGGGAGGAGAGGGTACATGGAGGCTGGGAACCAGGACAGAACCTACCATGAGCCTCAGCAGACAAGTGCTCGCCGAGCAGTGACTGTGTGGGCCTGCCTGGCACTGGGGCCATATCAGTGGGCAGACAGAACCCTGTACCTGTGGGGGGCCTGGCAAGTGGCGTGGTGGCTTAGGGTGCTGGACTCCCACATGATTGGTCACAGTTCGAGTCCCAGACCTGTCGGCTTGCTTTCTCACTTTCTCTCTCTCTATCTCACTCTGTCCCTCTCTGATCAAATTAGAATAAATAAATAGATACATTTAAAGAAAATAAGTCTTTATTTATTTATTTAGAGAGGTTTTTGCCATAGGGCATGTGCGCTTACCAGAGACAGAGAGAGACAGAGAGACAGAAAGCAAGAAATCACCCCCCGGGGGGATGGCCACACTCCAATCCCTTCTCCTCCATTCTCCTCTAGGGATTTTGGGCACGCACGCACACATATCAAGCGTTGAGTTTAAGCCACCAGGTCCGGGACTCAAACCATGGTCGACTACATGGGAGTCCAGCGACATAGCCATTACGCCAACCACTGGTCCTGCTAAAACAACAACAACAACAAAAACCTGCACCTGTGGGGCTGACATCGAAGAGGAGGGAGGCAAGAAATACGCACGACACAGCCAGCAGGCAACGCGGAGGTCAAGGCAGCGGGATACCGCATGGCTGGCTGTGCGTGCCCAAAATCCCAAGAGAGAATGGAGAAGAGATTGTGGCGTGGCCGTCCCCTGGGGGGGGATGCTTTCTCACTCTCTCTCTCTCTCTCTCTCTGGTGAGTGCACACATCCTACAGCAAAAACGAAAACACAAAACTCCAACAAACAAACAAACAAAAGCTATTTTAAAAAAGGAAAATAAGCACGAGGGACCAGCAGTTGGCATAATGGCTATGTCGCTGGACTCCCATGTAGTCGACCGCGGTTCGCGTCCCGGACCCGGTGGCTTAAAACTCACGCCGGGCGTGTGTGCGTGCGTGCCCAAGATCCCAAGAGGAGAATGGAGGAGAAGGGATTGCAGTGTGGCCATCCCCCCCGGGGGGTGTTTTCTCGCTTTCTGTCTCTCTGTCTCTCTCTGTCTGTCTGGCAAGCGAACGCGCCCTATAGCAAAAACCTCTCAAAAAAAAAAAAAAAGAAAAAGAAAAGCAGCACGATAGATAAGGAAGTCATTACACAGTACGCAAGAAGGTGCTCGTAAAAGACCAGGGTGCCAGGAGAAGAGGGGCTCAGCCAGGCTGGCGCTGGGTGGGCTGAGGTTGATGACAGGCTCGGAAGGTGGGATGATACTGAAGAGAGCGTAGCCTCAGGCTCTGGGTTCAAATCCCACCTCCTCTGGCTGCTAACCGTGCTCTTACATTTCTTTCTTCACACGGAACTCTGGCTGCAGGAACAGTGCAGATGGATTTGTGCTGGCTGTGATCCGTGGGAGGTAGCACCAGGACTGTGGTGACAGGATCTGGCTATGCTGCCCAGGCCGGCCTCCGGTTGCAAATCCCCTGTCTCTGCCTCAGAAACCACTGGGATTACCGATTCCTGGCCTTTAGGATGGACCTGGATTTGTGGTCCTGCCCCGAGCAAGACACGCTACTGTGACTGGCTCTGGCCAGCACTGGTATTGTCCCCACTCTACAGATGGAGAAAGTGAGGCAGAGACTGGTTTTGCTTGTGCTCCCACTCACACAGATGGCCAAGAGGTAAAGCCCAGCCTGAACCCTGTGGGTTTGGCTCTACAGCCATGCTTGGGCCCCGGGCTGGACTCAGTCCCCCCATCCTCACTCCAGGACTCTCGTGAGTGCAGGTCCTTGGGTTCAGGTGTCACCGTCCTGCCCACCCCCACCCAACATCCCAGTTTGGTGTCCTCAGCCCACAGACGCTGGCACTGCCCTGTACCAGGCCCAGAGATTCCGAGATGGAAAGACGCCGGCCCAGCCTGCTCCCAGCGGCCTGCTGCTCCTGCCTCCTGCCTGCGAGCAGCCACAGACAGCGGCGTTAGCTTGTAATCTTCGTGTGGGGAGATGGGTATGATTAGCTATATTTTGCGGGCAAAACCAGGGCTCAGAAGAGAGAAGTGAGTAGTGTTGCCCAGGGAGAGAGTGAGTGACTCAAAGCCGGGCTGTTTGGCCCTATGCCTCCACCTGTGTTTTCTGGGGCTTTTGTTTGTTTTCTTAGATTTTTGCCATGGGGTCTGGTGCATTCCTGGTCAGGAAAGAGATAGATGCAAAGAGAAAGAAAGTGAGAAATCATCCCCCCACCCCTATGACTTCACAACCCCTTCTCCTCTATTCTCATCCTGTGATTTGGGGCAGTCATGCACACATGCCCAGTGTGATCTTCAAGCTGCTGGGTCCAGGATTCAAACTGTGGTCAGCCATGTGGGAATCCAGCGCTGTGACCACTATGCAACCTGCTGGCCTCTCCCTCATGTACTTTTTTTTTTAAGAATTATTTTTTATGGAACCAGTAGTTAGCATAATGGCTATGTCGCTGAACTCCCATGTAGTCGACCTCAGTTCGAGTCCCGGATCCGGTGGCTTAAACTCACGCCAGGCGCGTGTGCGTGCGTGCCCAGGATCCTGAGAGGAGAATGGAGGAGAAGGGATTACGGCATGGCCATTCCCCCTGGGGGGGTGATTTCTCGCTTTCTGTCTCTCTGTCTCTGTCTGGTGAGGACACGCACCATATAGCAAAACCCTCTCCAAAAAAAAAAAGAAAGAAAGAAAACTTAAAAAAAAATGGAAATAATGTATTTTTTTTTTTGGTGATAAAACACATGTAACAGAAAATTTGTCTTTACAGCCATCTTTAAGTGTGGCGTTCTAAATCCATTCACGTCATTGTCCTACAGTCGCCCCCATCCAGCTCCAGAGCCTTTTCCACTTCGTAAATCGGAGACTCTGTCCGCATTATACGCGAACTTCCCATTCCCCCGCCCCAGCCTCGGCGACCACTCTTCTACCTTCTGCCTCTATTCCAGGAACCTCACATGAGTGGAATCGGCCTTTGTCCTCTAAGGGGTTGGTGTCACCACACGCAGTGTCTGCAAGGTTCCTGCTACAGCGTGTCAGCACATCCTGCCTTCCAGGCTGAGTAATACCCGCTGTACGCACATGCCCTCCACGCACTTCGCACTGTGTCATTGTGCGTGAGTAGTCTGGCCGGCAACTGTCCGTGGACCCCAGGAGGTCTCTGTCACTCCAAGTCTCTGATGAGCTGCCCCAGCCGGCACAGCCACCAGGGAACCCTGCCTGGCGCACAACGACTGAGCGAACGCTCCCCGAGCACAGGGCTGTCTCCACTCTCTACCCTGGTGCTCTCTCTGCCCGCAGGGCCTCTGCACGTCAGAACCCTAACTCACCACCTTGCCCAGAGGTGCTCCTCCCTGTAGCACCCCCTTTTCTAGGTGTGGCTCCTTCAGAGCCTGTTACCCAGGCCAGGAGCCCAGCCTAGGCCGGGGCTTCCCCACCTGGACCCCCACACTCAGCTAGTCCAGCTCCTGAGTGTCTGTCCCCAGCTCTCCTCCCTGCAGCCCTGCCCTCACCTGATCTCCGTGGCCGTGGCCTCCCTTTCTGCCGCCCACCTTCCCAGCAGTCAGACCGACTTGACAAAGCACGAATGGCCATGGCTTTTCAGACTGAAACCCTTGCTGACTCTCCAAGCACTCCCTGAGGTGTTTGAGGCCCCCACAGTGCTGGCCTTACTGGCAACTACAGCGACACCACGGGACCAACCCCTGTGCTCCAAGTTGGTCACGTGGCGCTCGACTGCTCCCGGCCTTCCTCATCTGATTTTGCACATGCCGCTCCTGCTGCTGAGAAGGCAGGACCGGCAGCCAGCACCTCCTCCAGGGAACCTTCCCGACCCCACACCAACCACTGCCCATATGTTTTCAGCATGTCCCCTGCCCTCCACCATGTCCCCAACAGGACAGAGAGCTCCCGTGGCGGGACTGGTCGCCCTTACTCATGGCTGTGCTTCCCGCACTCACACAGAGCCTGTGCACACTGCAGGTGCTCAGCGGTTAATGCCACTTGGCCGACATGCTCCCAGGAAACGACCAAATGGCAGGCACGCCAGAGAGCCAGGTCCAGGTCCAGGTCCAGAACCGTGGGGATATGGGGAGGAGAGTGGGCAGCAGCTCCTGCTCTGGCCACTTTGGGGGTTCTCCACGGAGCGGTGGTGTGACTCTGGCCTCAGCCCCTTGTCCATGCAGGGAACAAGGCTCTGGCCTGCCCGCAGCCTCCTGGGCTCGGAGTGACCGCTCCCAGCAGCCTGTGCCGTGAGCCTCACCTGCATCAGTGTGCGCAGTGACTCCACGTATGACTGCTCCGTGTCCAGCAGGGTCATGGTCACGTGCTTCCGCATGTCCTGGGGAATAGGAGCAAAGGGTGAGACCGCGTCACCCAACCACATGGGGCTCAGAGAACTATCTATACCCCTCCCTGGCCTTCGAGGCCCACCTTCCAGCCAAGGCTGGAGGGCTCCTGGCTGTTCTCCCAGCACCCCGAACCTCTACTCTCCTGGGCCTTCACCCATACGCTACCCCTGCACCAACACCAGCTGTGGCCTAGTGGTTAAGGGAGCTGGATCCTGCATGGCCGATGATGTGGCTGGAGCCCTGGACCTGGTGGCTTATGAAAACGCACCAGGCATGTGTCTATGCAGGCCCAAAATCCCAAAAAGAAGGAGAGATGGAGAAAAAGGGATTATGGCATGGCCATCCCCCATGGAGGGTGCTTTCTCCTCCCCCCACCCCCTTTTCTCTCCCCGGCATGTGCATGTGCCCTCTGGCAAATACACACACACACACACACACACACACACACCCCTAGCTCCCCAGAGCTAGGCCCTAACTCCTCCACCTCACAGCCACCGTCACCCCCACGCCCAGGGCTGTGGGCAGCCCTGGAGAGCTCTGTGGTTACTGCGTGCACCCCTGCTCTCGGCTGAAGACACCCCACTATGAGGTTCTGCACTAAGGGGAGAGGTCACACTTGGCAGGACATCACGCCATCTAGAGTAGACAGTGTCACCCCTGCTATAGGTGAAGTCCCTGGGTCCCATAGAGATGAGGCTGCTGTGAGGTCATGCCGGGTGGGTGGTGTCAGACAGGGCTGGCCCCCAGCTCTCTCATTTATAAAGTTAACTGAACCCGCCATGAGCCCGGCCCTACTGTGAGGATCATGTCATTTAATGCCCCTGACCACCCCGGGGGTGGGTGCTATTCTCCCCACTGATCTGCTGATCTGCATTACAGGGTCCCCAAGGGGTCGCCAGCACCCCAGGGACAGGGTGCTCACCCTGTGCTATGGGGAGGCCTGGTTGGCAGTCAGCCCGGGGATACCATCTTGTGCTCCTCACCCGGGGATGGAACTGGCCTGCCACCCCGTCCCTCCAGTCTCACTGGCCCACTTCTCCAGGAAGCCTTCCCAGATGGCACCAGTCCTACAGTTTTCCTTCTCTGCCAGGCGCTCCACTCCGGGTCTCCACACTCCACACTGACCCACTAAGTCCTTGGAGTGATCTGGGCAAGACCCCTACCACCCCCCAACCTCCCGGGTCCCAGAGCTCTGGTTTATTCTCCCCACTCCCCTCTCAGGTTGCCGCTGGCCGAGCATTTCTCTGGATCTTGTTCAGGCCTGGCCATCCGGGCCAGCTAGTTGGAGTAGACACTCTGCACATGACAGTCCCCACCCCCAGGAACCCTCAGAGTAGGGCCCTGTCCAGTCACAACTGTGCCCAGGGTCCCCGTCTGCTTAGTGGCTCTGAGCCCCAGGCCTGTGTGGCTTGCCTGAACCCTATGCCCACCCCTCTGCTCATGGCACTCCCACCCCAGGTCAACCTCCTATCTGGGACTCGGGTCAGGCCTGTCCCCTGGTGAGGCGCACTCAGAAAAGGAGCACAGTGTAGGGGTGTGGATGCCCTTCCATTCCCCAGTGGCAAGAGGAGGCTGGCTTCCCCACCAGGGCCAGCCCAATGCTGATGGGAAAGCCCCAGCTACGACCAGACCATCTATCCTCAGTGCTTCTGGGGCCTTTAGAAAATCGAGGTGTCTTCCAGGAGGAAGTGGTATAAGCAGGTCCACCCAGGATGGAGAGCTGGAGGGGGACACTGGTGCCAGAAGGGCCTGCTGAGGGGAGATCAAGACCTCCAATCCTCCCCTTCCAGCCCCGGAGACCGTCCAGCACCTCACATGGCCTCATTTCAGCCTCTCACTCCCAGCTCTATGACACCAGGGTAGTCGTCTCCACCGCCAACTCAGAGAAGTGGCATGCCGTGCCCGGGTCACCCAGCCAGTGAGCGACGGAGTCGGCACCGTAGTCTCTCCAGGCACCCATGAGTCTCAGGGCTCAGCACTGGGAGCTCTCGCTCCACCTGACCAAGCAGCTACCGGCTACTGGGTCCCCAGCTCTGGCCTTGCTGCTGGGTGACCTTGGTGGTCACTAAGCACCCTGTTTCTGCATTCTCCTCTGAGACGGACAGAGAGCATCCCCTCCAGCACTGCGACAGCTGGTCATGGGAGAAGTGCTCTGGCCTCACGGTGGGCCTCGATGTCCACTCTCTCCCACCATAGCCAGACCACACAGAGCACTCCCTGACGACAGGACCAGGCCAGCGCCCGTGCCTACACACCTGGCCCAGCCAGGGCCAGCCAGGCCCAGTGGGCACCATGAGGGCCACGGTCAGGGAGCATCCTGAAAGGCAGGGCTGGCGCTGGGCCTAGCTGGGAGAGCTAGGGTAACAGGAGGCTGACGCTGCAATGCCGCCTTTCCCGGCCCCCTCCCTGCTGCGAGCACGGCAGGCTGTCACTCAGCTGTCAGGTAGAGGCACAGAAAACAAGGCCAGCTCCTGTCACTGCGTGAGCACCCTGGCACACGTGCCCAGACACGGGTGTCGGGTGTGTGGGGGTGGGGAGGCGGGGGGTGTGCAGGGGATGGACAGTGCAGCTGTCAAGCAGACCAGCAGGCCCACCTGTTCTAGGCGGGGCAGCCCTGCTGGCCCAGCCACCCCCCAGGGCCTCTCGCCCTCAGCAGGCCCATTCCAGGCCTTCACTTACATGAGGCACTGAGGTAGGAATGCAGCAGGAAGATGGGGGGATCTGCTTCAATACAGCAGGAGGATAGGGGGGCCACTCTTCCCAGTGTAACTGGGGCATCACCACCCACAGACAGAAGACCCTGATGTACACAGCATGAAGACAGAGACAGAAGCACATGCCAGGAAGTCACAAAGGCAAGACCCCCACACAGGGACAACAAATGCAGCCAAATCGACCCTCCAGCTCAGAGACTTCAGGCAGTGGAGAAAAAGACACAGCACAGCCCGGGGGTGGGGGGCAGAAGCTGACGTTGGATCCTGGTGTCCCAGCCCAGAGAACCACAAAGACAAGGGGGCATTCCGGGAGCCTGCCTCCCATGCAGAGGAGTGTGCACGGAGCTGGGAGGGGACACCACTGCTCCCACCACATTTCATCTCCAAGGCCCAGCAGGCCTGGCATAGGGAGAGGACAGCAAGGAGGAGCACCAACACACGCCTGGGGCTGCCTCAGCCCACAAGGGGGGCTCTCCTTGTGCACCCAGGGTAACCCCGGCAACAGCCCCAGCTTCCACACTGACCCATTTTGCAAGTTGAGTGCCAGGCCTTGACCCACAGTGTCCTGTCAACTATACTGCCCTCTGTGGGGGCTCCTCACCCTCAACCTCCCTGCCCCTATTACTGGTCACAGAGCCCGACCGGAGGCCAGGTTGTGGGGGTGTCCGATCTGGGTCCCAGGCCCTGCGTCCCAGCATCCTTCCATGCCTCTGCCAATCTCCTGAGTCGGCTGAGTTCTAGGCCAAGGCCCAGGTTCCAGCCGCCCCACCTCCTCCCCCTCCTCCCCGTACCTGGGTCTCCCCGGGCTCCTCGGTGTCCGTGCCAGTGCCGCTGCCCCGGGTGGGCTCCCCGGAGGCGGCGGCCGGGCCCAGATCGCGCATGTCTTCCAGCGCGATGGTGAACTGGGCCAGGGTCTTCACCATCTGCAGCATGCGGCCGGCAGGCCGCCGGAGCGGGGGTGCCGAGCGGTGGCGAGCGTCGGGGCGGGGTCGGCGC